CGGCGCCGGGAGGTGATGTCGAAGCAGGTGATCATCATGAGGTGGGCCTTGCAGAAGTTGACGCGGCTCTCCAGGCGCTCGGTCACGCACTCGAGCGCCTCCAGGTACTCCAGGGAATCCAGCTCCCACACCTGCTCCAGGTCAACTGTGAACGAGAGAGGCTGGTGGGAAAGGCGCCCACACGGCCCGGTCGGAGCTGCACCCGTCACCGTGGGAAGCTCGCCCCCCTCCCGTGGGCCCCGCCCTCGCATGCGGCTGCCCCCAAGCAGGTGAGGACTGGCTCTGCCCCTTGCTGCTTCCCCCACCCCCTCACCCCCTCCTCCCTCAGCCTCGGGCCACACTCTGCCCGCTGTGCCTCGCCCACGGGCGAGCGGGTGGCTTGTGTAGGGGAAGGCACGGGGCTGAGGGCTGGGGTGGAGCTGAGAGGCCACAGGAAAGGAGCTGTAAGGGCAGAGATGCGTTTGCCCCACACGCTGTCTTCCCGCATCGGGTCCCCAATCAGTGCAGCCGTTCGGGACCAGATTTGGGCTTTGTTTTGTGGTAAAGGGAACGGTTAGGAACAAATGCATAAGAGACCAGGGAAGCCGTCTCGCAAAGACAGACTTGCTATAGGTGTCACTCATCCCGGGCTTCCTGCCGAGGGGAAATCTCACTGCATGTGATTGTTTTCGAGGCCTGCGGTTCTACCCTGCGCGGAGCCCGTAAACCCTTGTCGGTTTCAGGCCAGACGCCCGCGTGTGGGCACCCTTCCAGGAGGGAACCCTCATTGGCAGGGGCTCTGGACTGAGACCCAGAGCAGTCATCTTGCAAGAGCAATGCTCACACCCCTCCCCGCTGCCCCCGCCCCCACCCCCTGTGAGGGGTGACCATCTCCATGTGATGGGCACCGAGGCCCTGGGATTCGGACAAGACACCGGCTCACAGGCCAGGCTGTTTGGCGGCGACCCTGGCTACAGTGAGGTTATCAGGGTCGTTCTAGGGGTCAGAGGCCTGGTGCTTGGTCGTGGAGTGACAGGAGGCCCAGCGACACTGCTAATGAGGATGATAACGTCCGCGACCCAGGCCTTACACTCGCTGAGCCACTGGTCGGGGTCCAGCATCAGGTGCTGCTTGGTCGCCTCCAGCTCCTGCATCAGCCACTCGTACTTGGCCCGGACCTCGGCGATCCTCTGCTGGCGGCGCTCCAGGGTCCTCAGCTTGACGTTGAAGCCCACGCCCTCCTGGGCAGGTGGGGGGAGAAGCAGCAGGTGCAGGGGAGAGGCGGACACGTGGGGGGAGAGGCGGGAGGTGGAGGTGAGAGGCGGCAGGTGGGGGGGAGAGCGGGGGAGAGGCAGGAGGTGGGGAGAAGTGAGTGGGGAGGACTGGTCATGGAATGTGGGGGGCCGGTGACACCCCAGCCCACTCTCAGCTCAGACACCCCACCCTGGGCAGTGCCACCACAGGCACCTGTTACATTTAAAGCAGCTGCTTTGGGAGCTGGAGCCAGAAAAGCCCCCAACATCACGGCCTCCCAGCCCTGGAGCCTTGAAGGCATTTAGACGGGAAACGTGGAGCCCTCCCGAGTCCTGTGCTGGGACCGAGCCCCGAGTCCCCCCCACTGGGAAGCCAGCTGGGGAGTCCCCTGGCCCGAGCCCCCCACAGGGCACGACCCCATCCCCGCCCCAGGGCCCAGCTGG